AGAACACTCTTCCCACCCTGGCCTGCTCCCTCAGTTCCGACAGTTCTTTGTTCAAGCTCCGTTCTCATCGAGGCCCATCCCCACTATCTTACTTAACATTAGAATCCGTCCCTGCTCCCACCCCAGCACTCCCAGCGCCCTTACCCTGCTCTGTCTTCTTTCTTCCATATCATCTTCTAACACACCATCTAACATATTTACTTATTTTGTTTACTGTTGGCCATTTGCCTCCTCACTTTACAGCAGTTTCTTTCTTTCTCTTTTTTTGGCAGCTGGCCAGTATGGGGATCCGAACCCTTGACCTTGGTGTTACCAACACCCTGCTCTAAGCAACTGAGCTAATTGGCCAGTCACCCAGCCCTACCTCCCACCCCCAACTTTAAAATGTAAGTTCTATGGGGAGAGATCGGACAAGGGGTATAAAGAATAATTACGGTTTGTAACAATATATATGCTAGTAATATTGATTTGATCAACATATCTCAATGTTGAACCCCAAAATTATGTATAATCAATTTTGATTGAATAAATAAAATAAATTTTTTAAAAAAGGGATAGATTTGGAGAAACAAGGATCCCCTCCCCCAAAAAAAGTAAGTTCTACCAGGTAAGTTCATTTATGTTCTTTGCTGTATCCCCAACTTCCAGAACGATGCCTGGCACATCATATGCCTTCCATAAATATTTTAACTCTAATTCTTCAGCACAGAAAATGCTTGGTTTCCTGCCCTCCATCCCAACAATATTCAGAGGGTCGCCTAAGTGCTAATTGATTTTCTCTGATTTTCTTAGCATCTCAGCTGCCATGGTAACCAGGGGGTGGCAGGGAACAGCCAGAAGTTACCTGTCCTCTTCAGGCACACATCTCATTCCCCTTAATCACAAAGACCCACAACCTCAGAATGCCCACAGCTCTGCCACGAGCAACTCTTCCAGCTGTAGGAACCGTACAGTCCCCAAGGCCTGGCCCCAGAACTCAGAAACACAAACACCCAACCCACACAGTCACCCAGCAGAGGAAGCACAGCCAATCACACCACCCACACCCACACGCCGTCACACCGCACAGCCATTCTCTATGCAGTGGCAAAATCTCATGGACCAGATGCCCGTTTGTTAGCAGGACACCCCCAGCACAGCCTAGGCAGCGACATTGCCAGCCTGCGCACCCCCACTGTGGCATCACCTAGACTATCCGTCCTTCTGTCTTGCTCTTTCTGCCTTTGGTATCTGTTTATTGCTTCAATGTCTCTCTCTGCATCTCGGACTCCTCCCATTTTCCTCTCTCTCTCTGTCTGTCTCTCAGCTTCACTGTGTCTGTCTGTCTCTCCATCTCTCTGACTCTCTCTCTCATTCTTCAGTGGTCTCTGTCTCTGACCCTCTGTTTGACTCAGTCTTTCCCCATCTCTCTACCCTTCTTAACTGTATTCTTCTCTTCCCTTTTCTGTCCCTCAGTGTCCAAAGGATGGAATAACCAAAGTCAACAGACACAACACAACATAAACATGCACAGGACACAGTGACACCTGTGCAAGGACAGGTGCACACAAGACAGTCAAGTGGGGACATACACGCACCTCCACCCTCCTAGTTTCAGGATATTTTAAATTTTCTGTGGGTGGAAAGGGCCGCCCCCAACCTGGGGGTGGGGTGGGTGGACGGAGAGTCCTCTGCGGTTCTGAAATGCTGCGACAAGAAGGGGGCCTCCTAAGACAAGCTCCTCACACACCCTGGCACACACAGACAGCTGCTGGCACAGTGACACGTTGACAGAGTGACACAAACACACCTCCGTCGTGCACTCTCTCGCAGACACGCTGCGATCCGCTGACAGAGTGACTGACATACAGCACCACACACATCACTGGGTGCCTTGGCAGGCATTACCTAAGGGGACCTAGCAGGAGGGACTCGAGCTAGACAAGGGCAAAGCTTCCTGAGATCAAAGGAAGCAGATTTCCTCCCCAGCCTGCCCCCTTGTCTCCCGGAAACTCCACTCTCCTGCCCCTTATCCCTCGCGGCCTCTGATCACAAACCCAGTCTCTTTCTCATCCTGTCCCCCCTCATCTCTCACCGACCCAAACTCCTTTTTTTTCTGTAGCATCCTGAGGATCTGTCCTTCCCTGGGTCTGCATGTCTCTCCTCCGTGTCTGTCTTCAACTCTCCTGCACCCTCTCCCTTTCAGTGCTCCTCGGTCTCAGTCTCTCAAACTCTCTCTCGCACGCGGGCTCTCTCTGTCTCTGTCTGTTTCCTTCTCCCTTTGTCTCTAAGTTTCTGTTTCTCTCGTTCTGTCCCTGCTGTCTCTGTTTTTCTCTCTGACTCTCTGTTACTCTGTCCCTGGCTCTCTCTGTCTCTCTCCCCAGTCTCCTCTGTCTCTCTGTGTCTGTCTCTCCTCCACTCTCTCCGCACTACCCCATCTCTGCAGGTCTCTCCTCCATCTCTGTGTTGACCCTGCCCAGGCCTCCCCTTCAGCCTGGCTGCTTCACAGCGTCAGTGCAACGGTGTGTTCCCTCAACGCTCATCAGCCCCCTGTTCCCTGTCTCCTGAAGCCACAGCCGGAAGCTGGGGCGGG